ATCTGGACATCCTCTTTCCCTCCGGCTAGATACTGCCTGTCTAAACTACTACTCACTTGATAAGAACTAGCAAAAACATCTTTTCTTCTGTAAAGTATTCCTTCATTCTCTCTTTCTGTATTTCCACAGCACTTTGTACTATCTACTATAATACTTATCACATCTAAAAGTAGTAATTTTTTAAATGCCTGCCTTCACTAGCAGATTATGAGCTCCTCTAGGGCTTAACTCATCCTTGTAATTACAGAGATTATGGTAAAGTATGCAATAGAGACATATAATAGAAAAGATAAAAACATGAACAATGGTAAAATATGCTCAAATGCCTTTGGGAATGTCTCTTGAATTAGGACTTACATTTGTAAAATCCTAAATGGTCCTCATATTCCTCAGAAAGGAGGGAGAGCTCCTTAAAAAACTCCTTCCCTACCCCTACTTCTGAAAAGGGATAATATTTGTACCTTTCATGAGTAAACATTTCAGTTTTCTACCATTTTAGGAAGCCACCATTAATAACAAGCCAAGCCAAAGAATTCAAGACACATTTGTCATTCTAACTTTTTGTAAAGACATAAATGATTACCCCCTAGGCATCTGATAAACTTATTCTTTAAATATTTCCACAGAAACACTGTATGATACAGCTCAGACTGGTGGCCTAAAAAATTACTTTTTAGTAACATAAAAAAATAGATTACAACTTACTAAATCAGTTTCTTTTTTCCTTCTTTTCTTTCTCTCTGTTTTTGGCACCTGGTTGGAAAGAAATACAGAAAATGTGATATAACAAAGACTAACATAATTTCTTACTTCTTTGCAAATGCTGAGGGTTTTGCTCAACAGGTAATAAAATAAGCAGCTCTTTATTCCTCAAGAGGAAACGTGCAGTGCTACTAAGCATACGTGAGAAAAAAAAATTTATATTTAGTAAAACACAGTGCTCATAAAAGCAACAGAATGGAAGGATACTTTAGAAATTATCTTTTTAAACCTCAGTTCTGCCCAGAAGCCACACCATTATTAATTTAAATGATTATTTTATTTTAGACATTAATTACCTGATTATTAATTTCAAAGATTGCACTTTGCATATTTTGGCTCTAGAAAACTCTCCATCCTAGAGCTAAATATAAAAAGGTATTGGAGATTGGCTCAAAGTGGCGGAGTAGAAGGACGAGCACTCACTCCTTCTTGCGAGAACACCAGAATAACAACTAACTGCTGAACAATCATCGACAGGAAGACACTGGAACTCACCAAAAAAGATACCCCACATCCAAAGACAAAGGAGAAGCCACAATGAGACGGTAGAAGGGGTGCAATCACAATAAAATCAAATCCCATAACTGCTGGGTGGATGACTCACAAACTGGAGAACACTTATACCACAGAAGTCCACCCACTGAAGTGAAGGTTCTGAGCCCCACGTCAGGCTTCCCAACCTGGAGGTCCGGCAACGGGAGGAGGAATTCCTAGAGAATCAGACTTTGAAGGCTAGTGGGATTTGACTGCAGGATTTCAACAGGACTGAAGGAAACAGAGACTCCGCTCTTGGAGGGCACACACAAAGTAGTGTACACACTGGGACTCGGGAAGGAGCAGTGACCCCCAGGGGAGACTGAACCAGACCTACCTGCTAGTGTTGGAGGGGCTCCTGCAGAGGTGGGGGTGGGGGCTGTGGCTCACCGTGGGGACAAGGACACTGGCAGCAGAAGTTTTGGGAAGTACTCCTTGGCGTGAGCCCTCCCAGAGTCTGTCATTAGCCCCACCAAGGAGCCCAGGTAGGCTCCAGTGATGGGTTGCCTCAGGCCAAACAACCAACAGGGAGGGAACCCAGACCCACCCATCAACAGTCAAGTGGATTAAAGTTTTACTGAGCTCTGCCCAACAGAGCAACAGTCAGCTCTACCCACCACCAGTCCCTCCCATCAAGCCTCTTAGATAGCCTCATCCACCAGAGAGGAGACAGCAGAAGTAAAAGAACTACAACCCTGCAGCCTGTGGCACAAAAACCACATTCACAGAAAGATAGACAAGATGAAAAGGCAGAAGGCTATGTACCAGAGAAAGGGACAAGATAAAACCCCAGAAAAACAACTAAATGAAGTGGAGATGGGCAACCTTCCAGAAAAAGAATTCAGAATAATGATAGTGAATATAATCCAGGACCTCAGAAAAATAATGGACGCAAAGATCGAGAAGATGCAAGAAATGTTTAACAAAGACCTAGAAGAATTAAAGAACAAACAAACAGAGATGAACAATACAATAACTGAAATGAAAACTACACTAGAAGTAATCAATAGCAGAATAACTGAGGCAGAAGAATGCATAAGTGACCTGGAAGACAGAATGGTGGAATTAACTGCTGTGGAACAGAATAAAGAAAAAAGAATGAAAAGAAATGAAGACGCCTAAGAGACTTCTGGGACAACATTAAACACAACAACATTTGCATTATAGGGGTCCCAGAAGGAGAAGAGAGAGAGAAAGGACCAGAGAAAATATTTGAAGAGATTATAGTGGAAAACTTCCCTAACATGGGAAAGGAAATAGCCACCCAAGTCTAGGAAGGGCAGAGAGTCCCAACCAGATAAACCCAAGGAGGAACACTCGGAGACACATAGCAATCAATTTGGCAAAAATAAGGACAAAGAAAAATTACTGAAAGCAACAAGGGAAAAACAACAAATAACATACAAGGGAACTGCCATAAGGTTAACAGCTCATTTCTCAGCAGAAGCTCTACAAGCCAGAGGGAGTGGCATGATATATTTAAAGTGATGAAAGGGAAGAACCTACAACCAAGATTATACTACCCAGGAAGGATCTCATTCAGATTCGATGGAGAAATCAAAAGCTTTCCAGACAAGCAAAAGCTAAGAGAATTCAGCACCACCAAACCAGCTCTACAACAAGTGATAAAGAACTTCTCTAAGTGGGAAACACAAGAGAAGAAAAGGACCTACAAAAACAAACCCATAACAATTAAGAAAATGGTCACAGGAATATACATATCGATAATTACCTTAAACGTGAATGGATTAAATGCTCCAACCAAAAGACACAGGCTTGCTGAATGGATACAAAATCAGGACCCATATATATGCTGTCTACAAGAGACCCACTTCAGACCTAGGGACACACACAGACTGAAAGTGAGGGGATGGAAAAGATATTCCATGCAAGTGGAACTCAAAAGAAAGCTGGAGTAGCAATACTCATATCAGATAAAATACACTTTAAAATAAAGAATGTTACAAGAGACAAGGAAGGGCACTACATAATGATCAAGAGATCAATCCAAGAAGAAGATATAATAATTATAAATATACATGCACCCAACACAGGAGCACGTCAATACATAAGGCAAATGCTAACAGCTATAAAAGAGGAAATCGACAGTAACACAATAATAGTGGGGGACTTTTAACACCTCACTTACACCAATGGACACATCATCCAAACAGAAAATTAATAAGGAAACATAAGCTTTACATGACACAATAGACCAGATAGATTTAATTGATATTTATAGGACATTTTATCCAAAAACAGAAGATTACATTTTCTTCTCAAGTCCAGATGGAACATGCTCCAGGATACATCACATCTTGGGTCACAAATCAAGCCTCAGTAAATTTAAGAAGACGGAAATCATATCAAGTATCTTTTCTGACCACAACACTATGAGATTAGAAATCAATGACAGGGAAAAAAACATAAAAAACACAAACACATGGAGGCTAAACAACACGTTACTAAATAACCAAGTGATCACTGAAGAAATCAAAGAGGAAATCAAAAATTACCTAGAAACAAATTACAAGGAAAACACGATGATTCAAAAGCTATGGGATGCAGCAAAAGCAGTTCTAAGAGGGAAGTTTATAGCAATACAATCCTAGTTCAAGAAACAAGAAAAATCTCAAATAAACAATCTAACCCTACACCTAAAGGAACTGAGAAAGAAGAACAAACAAAACACAAAGTTAGTAGAAGGAAAGAAATCATAAAGATCAGAGAAATAAATGAAGTAGAAACAAAGAAAACAATAGCAAAGATCAATAAAACCAAAAGCTGGTTCTTTGAGAAGATAAACAAAATTGATAAACCATTAACCACACTCATCAAGAAAAAGAGGGAGAGGACTCAAATCAATAAAGTTAGAAATGAAAAAGAAGTCACAACCGACACTGCAGAAACACAAAGCATCCTAAGAGACTACTACAAGCAACCCTATGCCAATAAAATGGACAACCTGGAAGAAATGGACAAATTCTTAGAAAGGTATAACCTTCCAAGACTGAACCAGGAAGAAATAGAAAATATGAACAGACCAATCACAAATAAGGAAATTGAAACTGTGAGTAAAAACCTTCCAACAAACAAAGTCCAGGACCAGATGGCTTTACAGATGAATTATATCAAACATTTAGAGAAGAGCTAACACCCATCCTTCTCAAACCCTTCCAAAACACTGCAGAGGAAGGAACATTTCCAAACTCATTCTATGAGGTCACCATCACCCTGATACCAAAACCAGACAAAGATACTACAAAAAAAGAAAATTACAGACCAATATCACTGATGATTATAGATGCAAAAATCCTCAATAAAATACTAGCAATCAGAATTCAGCCACACATTAAAAGGATCATACACCATGATCAAGTGGGATTTATCCCAGGGATGCAAGGAATCTTCAATATATGCAATTCAACATGATACTCCATATTAACAAACTGAAGCATAAAAACCATATGATCATCTCAATAGATGCAGAAAAAGATTCTGACAAAATTCAACACCTGTTTATGATAAAAACTCTCCAGAAAGTGGGCATAGAGGGAACCTACCTCAACATAATAAAGGCCATATACGACAAACCCACAGCAAACATCATTCTCAATGGTGAAAAACCGAAAGCATTTCCTCTAAGATCAGGAACAAGACAAGGATGTCCATTCTCGCCACTATTATCCAACAGTTTTGGAAGTCTTAGCCATGGCAATCAGAGAAGAAAAAGAAATAAAACGAATTCAAATTGGAAAAGATTAAGTAAACCTGTCACTGTTTGCAGATGACATGATACTACACGTAGAGAATCCTAAAGATGCCACCAGAAAACTAATACATCTAATCAATGAATTTGGTAAAGTTGTAGGATACAAAATTAATGCACAGAAATCTCTTGCATTCCTATACACTAACAACAAAAGATCAGAAAGAGAAATTAAGGAAATAATCCCATTCACCACTTCAACAATAACAACAACATAAAATACCTAGGAATAAACCTACCTAAGGAGGTAAAACACCTGTATTCAGAAAACTGTAAGACATTGATATAAGTAATCCAAGATGACACAAACAGATAGAGAGATATACCATGATCGTGAATTGCAAGAATCAATATTGTGAAAATGATTATTCGACCCAAAGCAATCTACAGACTCAATGCAATCCATTTCAAATTACCAACGGCATTTTTTTACAGAAATAGAACAAAAAAATCTTAAAATGTGTATGGAGACACAACAGACCCCGAATAGCCAAAGCAAACTTGACGGAAAAAATCGGAGCTGGAGGAATCAGACTCCTTGACTTCAGACTATACTACAAAGCTACAGTAATCAAGACAATGTGGTACTGGCACAAAAACAGAAACACAGATCAATGGAACAAGACAGAAAGCTCAGAGATAAACCCACACACCTATGGTCAACTAATCTATGACAAAGGAGGCAAGGATATATAATGGAGAAAAGACAGTCTCTTCAATAAGTGGTGCTGGGAAAACTGGACAGCAACATGTGAAAGAATGAAAGTAGAATACTCCCTAACAGCATACACAAAAATAAACCTAAAATGGATTAGAGACCTAAATGAAAGACCGAACACTATAAAACTCTTAGAGGAAAACATAGGAAGGACACTCTTTGACATAAATCACAGCAAGATCTTTTTGATCCACCTCCTAGAGTAATGGAAATAAAAACAAAAATAAACAAATGGGACCTAATGAAACTTAAAAGCTTTTGCACAGCAAAGGAAACCATAAACAAGACGAAAAGACAACCCTCAGAATGGGAGAAAATATTTGCAAACGAATCAACGGACAAAGGATTAATCTCCAAAATATATAAACAGCTCATGCAGCTCAATATTAAAAAAACAAACAACCCAATCCAAAAATGGGCAGAAGACCTAAATAGACATTTCTCCAAAGAAGACATACAGATGGCCAAGAAGCACATGAAAAGCTGCTCAACATCACTAATTATTAGAGAAATGCAAATCAAAACTACAATGAGGTATCACCTCACACCAGTTAGAATGGGCATCATCAGAAAATCTACAAACAACAAATGCTGGAGAGGGTGTGGAGAAAAGGGAACCCTCTTGCACTGTTGGTGGGAATGTAAATTGATACAGCCACTATGGAGAACAGTATGGAGGTTCCTTAAAAAACTAAAAATAGAATTACCATATGACCCAGCAATCCCACTACTGGGCATATACCCAGAGAAAACCATAATTCAAAAAGACACATGCACCCCAATGTTCATTGCAGCACTATTTACAATAGCCAGGTCATGGAAGCAACCTAAATGCCCATCGACAGACGAATGGATAAAGAAGATGTGGTACATATATACAATGGAATATTACTCAGCCATAAAAAGGAACGAAATTGGGTCATTTGTAGAGACGTGGATGGATCTAGAGACTGTCATATAGAGTGAAGTAAGTCAGAAAGAGAAAAACAAATATTGTATATTAACGCATATATGTGGAACCTAGAAAAATGGTACATGTGAGTCATTTGCAGGGCAGAAATTGAGACACAGATGTAGAGAACAAACGTATGGACACCAAGGGGGGAAGTGGCAGCAGGGCTGGTGTTGGGATGAATTGGGAGATTGGGATTGACATATATACACTAATATGTATAAAATGGGTAACTAATAAGAACCTGCTGTATAAAAAAATAAATTAAATTAAATTAAAAAACAAAAGGTATCATCTGGAGGACTTTCCTGGTGGTGCCATGGTTAAGAACCGCCTGCCAACACAGGGGACGTGGGTTCGAGCCCTGCTCTGGGAAGATCCACATATGCCGCGGAGCAACTAAGCCCGTGCGCCACAACTCCTGAGCCTGCGCTCTACAGCCTGCAAGCCACAGCTACTGAAGCCCACACGCCTAGGGCCCGTGCTCCGCAAGAAGAGAAGCCAGCGCAATGAGAAGCCCACGCACCGCAACAAAGAGTAGCCCCGGCTCGCCGCAACTAGAGAAAAGCCCGCGCGACGAAGACCCGAGAAGCCAGCGCAATGAGAAGCCCACGCACCGCAACAAAGAGTAGCCCCGGCTCGCCGCAACTAGAGAAAAGCCCGCGCGCAGCAACGAAGACCCAATGCAGCCAAAAATAAATAAATAATTTTTTTTTTTTAAAAGAAAGGTATCATCTGGGACATGGAAAAGTTCTTTTACATATGACGTTTCCTGTTAGCCATAGTAGAGAACAATCTCAATCTAACCTTTTAAAATTACAAACAAAGGCAGAATAAGCCTAATAAGAATCTTCTTCTGCATAACATAAGACCCCAACTTAGATGTAGAACACAAGAATTTTCAAGGATTTATTTATATCTGATTACTTCAAAATGACTTCAAATGTTTTATAAATCTAAATATACATAAATCAGAATAACTGAAAATAAAATGGGAGACAATAAAAAGGATTAATAGTATTCCTGCTACCCAATAATCAGATACCTAATTATCTCAGTTGGGGTACTGAAAGGAAACACACTGACAACCTTCTCTAAGCCTACCATCTCTTCTGTAATAAGAATTTCATAATAATTATTTAATAGGGCTGAAGCAAATAAAATATCAAACACCTAGTATAATTCCTGGTACTCAATAAATAAAGTTTATTATTACTATTATATAGATGTTCAGAAACATACATTTTCCTAAAACCTAATTCAAGGAGAAATATAATTCGTGGGTCCTTACATAAAGGCCACTAGATGATACAACTAATCACATCTTTAACCACTGTTTTTCAAAAGGAAATTTATGTACTGACCTCTATCAAAGCTGAGGGTATAATCTTAATGGCACAACATTATATTTTAACTCAGTGAAGAATATATTAATGGCAGACGGCTTTGATAATACAGTCTGATGAACTTTTAGGACAGAATGGAGTTTGCTGGATCTAAAGTAGTGCTAAAGTAGTTGACATGTTCACTGTAATGTTTTTCTCAAATACCAGATGTCCCAGACTCTTAAGAAGAATTCATAACTGAATCCTTTTAGAAATCAAAATACATTTACCTTTGTGGGTATATATTCCAGAGTCTTGAATTCATTCATATATTCATCTAAAAACACTTTAAAAGTGTTGACCCAAACTCTGACTGGAGATTCACTCCAATCACGCTGCTCAAGCCTCATGGTCTTTTCCAAAATCTGTTCAAATAGTGCGTAGAGGTCTTTATACCGTATGCTTTTCCCATCATCTATCTAATAAGCAATAAGAGAAGAAATGTAAGGTTTTATGAAGAAATTCTTTATACATAGAAGACTGATTCAATTTTTATTGGGTAATTATTTTGAATAAAAATTAGGATCCTGATATATTTTCTAATGGGCATGTCCATGAGGTCATGTGGTATTTGTAAATTCCCACTCTACTATGGAATGTCTGCAGAATAAAACCTGCTAAATTTTAGTAAAATACCTAACAGTTTAAACAATGTAATAATTGGAGAAAGCCCTGGGAATTTTTAACTATATTTAGCTATAAAGATTATCTGCCTCCCTCTTAGTTACCTATCCCCAGAAATGAACCTTGTTTAGATAGTTCCACTCTAAAACTGAAAAAGTGAATACCTGAATTCTTGCCTAGTGAAACATTAGGCAACCTTTACTTTGATTCATTTTTCCAAAGAAGAATGACATGCTTAGAATAACACCATATTCCTTGCAAAGGAATCTACATGGAATTCCTTTTAACTTATTTAAATGTGGTGTGGAGACTTCATGAGAAAGAAAAAAACAGGATTTAAGTGACCAAAACGTATTATATACATTTAAAATGTATTTCTCTTTCACCTCCTCAGAATTAGAAGTTGAACCTCTTTGATCCAGGGTTAGAAAACCACTATTAAGCTCTATTTCATAACGTTGGCTCTTCCTATGTGATACAAAGTATATTGGTCCCTAACCTAGAAAATAAAGGTATGAAGCATGACAAACAGTTAGCAGGATTAGAAAAATATGGCCAACATTGTCTCTACCCAAACCTAGTCATTTGCCGTAGCCTGATTACTACTTTATTATGGTCTTGAAATTATTGCTCTCTAAGGCTGCATGGTTCCTATTTTTAAAAGGCAAAAAAAATCTCTTACTGAGTAGAATATACATAGGAAAGTTCTCCTGATTTCTCTTTACACATTAAATTACAGGTTGAACAAAGAAAAACCAATTAAATACAAATTATTTTTTATAGAATAAATATGATAATTCAGAGATATTAATAAAGATTCTATAGATCAAAAAGCATTAATTATTATATACTTTAGCACCAATAATAAATTTTCTAAACCATGACCAACATCATATGAAAGTATAGGTAAATCTGAAAGTGATACAAACTCATATATAGAAATTGGTGAACAAAAACTGCTCTAATTCTACTGAATAAAAAAGTATAATAATTCCAACACAAATGAGAATTAGAAGCTGGAGCCAGAGCTAAAAGCATCATGAGAAGTCAAAATAGTAAAGAGCCACTGGGTGAAAAAGAATCATACCTAGAATATCTGAATTCAATATCTTAAGATGAAAATATACCTATAACAGGGGGAAAAAAAAAACGGCTCAAGGGAATTTGAGAATGCTATTAATCTGAGGTCAGTCAGTATGCTTTTCCCTATCTATCCCTAAAACAAAAAGAAGACACTGGTGACATCTCTAGTTGAACATGGCCCCTGTATTATTTTTTATGGCACTGTCAAATTTTTCATATGTTGAACTTCTGAATATCTCCTGACACAGTTTAACTTACCGCCAATGCAGATGAATAAAAGCTGAAGATATTCTGCCGAAATTCTTTCAGAGCTTTTTTAAATACAACATCGACTAGTGTGTCTTTCTTGCTGTCTTCATTATCTAGGTCATTCATCTGGGGACCACAAAAAGAGATTTTGTACACAGTCAACTAAACTGAAAAGAAGTGAATGCCACTCTGGACACATTACTGTTTCTTCAACAATGACCGTCCTGAAAGGGCAAACTATCATGGGACCCAGAAAAAAGCATGACCAGATAGCCAAAGTTTTATTACTACTAGATGATTTCTAAAGTCCCTTCTAACATTGTATGATTCCACAGTTCTGCTACCAAAAAGACAACTCAAAGTGTGCAATGACAAGCCTCACCTTCCCATACAGAAAGCAACATGACATTTACGGTAAAACTGAAGTCAACAGTAAAGCCTAAAACTTTAAATCCTGTCTACGCAGTCTAACTCATATGAATCCTATGATTTGCACCTTTCTGGTAAAGAAACAGACGCTCTAACTTACTGAAGCATATATCCTTTAGGGGGCATATCCTGATATACAAGCATTCCACAGTCAAAGCTGCTCAGGGGCCTAACTGAGCAGGCAAAGGGTACCTTTTTCAGAAGAAATTCATCCATGCTTTTTAAATCACTGGTACTTGCTATGATCTGGACAGAGTCATTTTGCCAATGCATAGACTCCAAAGCCACGCTGCTGATCTTCACATTTCGCTTACGCCTTGCCTTTGGAGAAGGCTCTTTGTTCTCTTTGAACTCCTTTCGGCAACTCCCAGGCAATTCTGGACTCAATGGAGGTGTTGGCTGATTCTGAGATAATTCTATAAATCAAGATAGAGTGCCCAAAAAAAATTTCTTTTAGTAAAAATACTGAAATCTCTGCATCCTTCTTTTTAAGTTCCTTTAGTAAGTCACTGAAGGAAACATGTAAATATCTGAAAAGTAAAGTAACATTAATGTTTAAGTTCAGGCAGTTAGGCGGTAAATCCAGATTGTACATTTGTACAGAAAATGTATTTAAGAATTATCACTTTTAAATGGGAAATTCTATAGTGTCTCCCAAAGAGATGAGGTCTGATACTGAAAATCTGGATGGAAGTGTCTTGTAGAACTGAAGCCTGGATCCCAAAGACCTCAGTCCCAAAGAAAAGAAAGAAGAGCACACAATCATACTAGCATGTTAAATGCTGACTATTAACCCAGTCATAGCTTTACTATATCTGTTTGAAAGAACATCCAGCTATATACAAATCCAATAAGCCAGTGAAGTTTGATAATTATTATTATTTGTTTACTAGGGTCTAAAGCCATAAATGCTCCAGTGACAATAGCTGGTGTTAGGCTGGCAACCTCTATTTAGGGAACCAGGTAACTCAACTTGTTCACTTCTGCCTGTGTCTCCTTGCTATTTAGGATTTTCACATATATTTCTCAAATAACTGTATGAATTTCTCAGATAATTCCTGGAATTAACTAGCTCTGTATATAATATTGGAAAACACAACAAATTTTCTCTGCAATTGTTTACACCAGAGAAATTGGGTTCCATGCAGTCCACTATAATCTAGAACTACACTGGATTTGCCAACGCCTACCTGGGGCTTGATGAGAAAGTTGGCCCCATTTCACATGTTTTCCCCACATATATTTACCTTACCTTCTGTCCAATGGTATATCCTCATTCCATCTAAAAGCTAATTCTGACAATAAAGGAAAAAAAATAGCCTCCTACTTGCTAAATGCCACCTTAGGCAGGAAGTGAAACAAACTTGAGATATGGCACCAGAATAAAAATTATAAAGATATAGGATATAAGTATATTCAAATTGGTATCAACTAATATTAATTCCATTATATAACCTAGATATACAAGTATCTAATTATTTCATTTAGCAAAGTCAATATCGTTCTTTATACTAAAAGAAATAATAGTTACTAAAGAAACTGTCTATAATCCAATTTCAGCATTAAAAACAAGGGCTACCTTAATAAATTTCTACCCAAAGATAAATAAAAAGGCTACAATCAATTTTTATACATGTATCCTTATTAAGCAAACACACAATGAAGTCTGCTAATAATATATACTTCAACCAAAGAGCTTCCTAATTCCTTCTTGGAAATCAGCAGTGGAGAATATAACTGTGAAATATGAAAAATTTAGAATGACTACTGTAAACCAGATAAGATAAAATGAATTGATCCTCTTAGGAATTCCAAACTTTCCAAACTGAACCTGTAGTATTCACTTAATTTACTACTGGTTTTATCCATATCAGTTTGCAAAGTGATAGCAGCAAAGCCACAAGACAGAAAACAGGGTTCTAATTAAATTTCTACCAGTTTTTCCTTTGACACACAGATGCCTCTGCTCTGGCTGATCCATTCCCATGTGAAACTTGATCTTTCCTCCCTTTACCTTATCCTTTGTCCCTTTATTTTTATCTCATTCTAGATGTGAGAAGTTTTGTTTACTTATTTTAACTGGGCCTGTTCTATCTCTTCTTAGAGATAATAACTTTCTTCGTAGGGCCTCTTTCTATTTTATTCAATACTGATATTTCATCCACCCACCAGTATTTTACCCACTCATTACTACACATCCACCTCTGATGTATATCCCTGTTTAAGATAGCTAGCATCTTTACATGGTAATTAAAAACGTTCATACATACTTGAGCAAAGGGCTTGGGAAGAATGGGCTAATCTTCTATTACTGGGACTATTGGAATCCTTGGAGAGTTAATAATTCTAGCATTTAGAAAGGCCATATCTCAACAGATGAACTAACTGTTGGGTATTTTCTGATGTGCTATGATTGATGCCCCAAAAGTTAAAATAACAGCTGCCACTATAAAGTCCCAGGAACATATAATAGGTACTTCAGCACAATGGTTATGAATATGGACTCTGGAGCTAGACTGCCTGAATTCAAATCTCAGCTCTGCCAATTGCTATATGTGTATAAGCAAATAACTCTCTGTGCCTCAGCTTTCTTATCTATAAACTGGGAATAATAATCATACCAACCTCAAAAAATTGCTGTGAGGATCAATGGAGTTAATACATACAATATGCTTAGTACAGTGCTTTGTATGTAGTAAGCACTCAAAAATCAGCTGCTGTCATTAATGTTTACTAGGAATATACATTTGTTAAGTGAATGAATGATGGTTAGATTTTTACACTTTAGAAAACTGAGGCTAATCGAAGATTCACAATCATTCTTGAAGTTGTTGTTACTTCACTGTTTTGTGCCACATTTCCCTGAAACTTCTATTACAGGTAAAATTTAACTTTATAATTATCTGTTAGTTAAGGAGGGACTTAACAATCTTGGTCCTATCTCATTAGAATATCTCACCAACAGGATTACCATTACAAATACTAGAGGGATAGTAAACTTTCAGAAAGAGTAAACAGAAATTATGAAGACAATCTCCACCCTATGTCCATCTAAAGAGTGCTGAAACCTCCGAATGGGTAGCAGGTTTCACTCTGATAGTCTTCTTCTCCCCTTGTTTCCCTTTGGCCCAGAATCTCATCTTAGCTCTCTGAGGTCTGTTAACAACAACAACAACAACAAAGTAACAATGGAAATTAGCATGTACTATTGACAATATCTGTATGTCACTTTAAGTTATATAAACACCTTTCATGTGAATTAATTCATTTAACCTTCACAGTTAAGTTAAGTTTAGTCATATTTAATCTTCAAGTGTACATTTAAACTTCATCTGGAAGGTAAATGATAGTTTCCTCATCTTGAATACAGAAATAATGAGACTCAGGAATGTTAACAAAAACCACCATTTATTTGAGTTGTTATCATGCTCCAGGTACAAGTGCTTATATAGAATTACCTTAATTAACTATAACAACAAGTTTACATTCAAACCATAACCGTTTTTCAGGTGAAAAACTGGTAGCTTAAACATTAGGTAACTTTCCCAAGGTTATACAGCCAGTGAGTAACAAAGTTGAGAATCACACCTACTATGCTCTATATTGCCTCATTAGTGCTTATATACTCTCTCCCATCATATAAATCAAGGAAACATCCTGAGATAATAACAGTTCACATTTACTGACCATATAGTATGTATCCTAACCTCGTACTAGGAGGCTTACTTGTACATTCATTTGTTGGTTCCTTTATTTTTGAGCATCGACTAGGAGCCAGGCACTATGCCTTACTTATGATGCCTTCTTTTCACAACTACCATGATAAATAGGTTTTTTTCTTTCTTTCTTTTTTTTTTTTTTTTGTGGTACGCGGGCCTCTCACTGTTGTGGCCTCTCCCGTTGCGGAGCACAGGCTCCGGACGCACAGGCTCAGCGGCCATGGCTCACGGGCCCAGCTGCTCCGCGGCATATGGGATCTTCCCAGACCGGGGCACGAACCCGTGTCCCCTGCATCGGCAGGCGGACTCTCAACCACTACGCCACCAGGGAAGCCCGATAAATAGGTTTTTTTATCCTAACTTTACACATGAGCAACCTGAGGCTCAGAGGGCTGATGGAGATGGAAGTTAAAATCAGGTCTGTCTGCTTTTGAAGCCCATGTTCTTTTATCCACGCTTCCTTCTTTTTCTAATAGCTTATTACTAATCCTATACATCCATATAGTATAAAGGGAAATTGTTCTACAAGACTTATTACAAATGATAGCATTCTCCTGCCATTCTCATTCCTTTTCTGCTCCCTAGAGCAACCCTTTTGAACTTATTTAACTGATTCTTTTAATATTTACCATACTTATATTGCTATCATATTTGTGACCACAAATAATAATTAAGCATATTCCAACACTCCAGTTCTATACCCTCCACAAACACAGACATCCCCGTAACAGAATATCATAATTTTAGTTAGATCAATATACAGTATTTTCTTTTAGTAGTATTCACTATTTTTTTTACTCTGTAAATAATATTCACAACTGAGACATACAGTACCCTCCATAACCAATATTTTTCTAGAGTTAGTGTTTTGTTTTACACTTGCTCACTTTCCTACATCCAATTCACCTCCAAGTGTCTCCCCATTTGTGAGTATCTCCTCTCAACATGTTGAAACATAGTAGATACACCATCAGTTCCATGTTCTTGAAGAAATCTTTCCCAGAGCCATCTAACCTGCTCTAATCTGGCATGGTTCCCTCAGTGATTGCTGTACAACCATCACTTAAAAAGCTACTTTCACCATCATAATGGAGATGTGTTTTGTCTCTACTGTTTTATGATGACGTGTCTCTTGGTATGGGTCTATTTTCATTCACTATGTTGGGCCCTCAGGGGGTCCTTTCAATCTATAGAAACTCAAGTCCTTCAGTTCCATGAAATTTATTTGAATTACTTTATTTTTACTTTGTCCTATCTTTCCAGAGCTCCTATCAGTGGGTCACTGGATGTCCTGAACTGCTCCTCTAATTTTCCTATCTTTTCTTCTCTTCTATCCATTTGTCTTTTGGCTCAACTTTCTGACAGATGTCCTCAACTTTCTTTCTAACTCTTCTGACTTCTTTATGCTATCACAGTTTCAATTTTCAAATACTCTTTTTTATTATGAATGTTTCCCTTTAAAGTATTCTGTTTGGCTTCATGAATGTAGTTATATTTATTTATGCAGAAGATCTATTGATAGTTGTATTTGTCTGTCTTGAAGTTTTCTTTCCCCTGTTTAGTTTATTGCTTCCAAGTTGTATTTTATCCATTAGTTTTAGATTCTTTCACTTCCGATGTCTCCTCAAATGTGTGGTGATCAAAAGTAGGGTATAAACAAGCTTCTTGGAAGGTCTAGTGTGCATTGGTGGGGCTTCCAAACTGTGGTCGTCCTTGTAGGGTTATCTGGCTGGTCCAATTTGTAGGGAGAGCCCCTGATAGCAATATCTTTAGGTCTTTCCATGAGGGCTGGATGGAAGTCCCAAAGACTCTTTGAATCATCTGCTTACAGGGTATGTGAAACGTGGAAGCTGAATACAGAAAAAAATCTGGGGGATCTTAACATTCAGTATGTAAACATTCATTAAATCCCCTTGTTCCAAGTATGTACCCCACCTCAACTGTATCTGGTTACCTCCAAGTGCAGAAATCTTCTGTTTTATCCTTTCCAGAAAATAAATCTCCTGTTTTCTGCTAGGATTGGGGAAGACCAGTCAGCCAGATGCTTCTTTCTCAGTTTTACCCAGTTGGTTTAGGATTCAACCTTCTCCTATCTATAGACATTTAAAATTTGTCTATCTACTTTTAGGATTCCACATTTTTATTATTGCTGTCTCCATTTTTATTATTGCTGTCTCTTGTTGTTTTTGTCCTGTATAGGTTTTGTTATTTTAGGAGAATGTGGAAATTAAATTTATATAGTTGATCTGCTATCTCCACCTGTATGTTTTTTCTATGTTACATTTTGTTTCCCAAAATTTGATCTCCAGCATAATCTGCTCTAGATTTGGGTTACCTTGGATTATGCCTCTACAGTCATTGAGAAAGTGATCTTTAATAGGGTTATGAACAAGACAGATTTCAATGAGATATTCAAGTGTTCAGTGAGGGCCCAAATGCCTTATATAACACGGTAAGGGACAAAGACATATTTTTTTTTTGAGCCTTCTTTTAATTAATTTATTTTAATTTTTGGCTGTGTTGGGTCTTCGTTTCTGTGCAAGGGCTTTCTCTAGTTGTGGCAAGTGGGGGCCACCCTTCATCGTGGTGCACGGGCCTCTCACTGTCATGGCCTCTCCTGTTGCGGAGCACAGGCTCCAGATGCGCAGACTCAGTAGTTGTGGCTCACGGGCCTAGTTGCTCCACGGCATGTGGGATCTTCCCAGACCAGGGCTCGAACCCGTGTCCCCTGCATTAGCAGACAGACTCTCAACCACTGTGCCACCAGGGAAGCCCAAGACATATTTTTGATAAATAAAAACTTCATATACTCTCCTAAAGAGAATAGAGTTCTTTCCTGAAAGTCTTTTCCAGTTCCATTTGTAAAACACTTAACTCAGAACAGAATCCAAGTCCAAAACTGGAAAATATTTTCAATCTAATCTGGTCTAATCTCTTTTCTTTTACAACCAAATATCCTAAGTCATATAATGATGTAAAGACTTTGCCCAAATCACAGTGCTAAACATATAAAAAGACAAAGCTCATTATATATATCTGAATTATTTATGCTACTGTCACACAGTAGGTACTTAGTATTTGTTGAAAAATAAATTTCAAAACTTTCAAAATTGATAGCTATTCTATCAGTTATGCTTTTAAAAAGATGCTCAGTATTTAACTATGGTCTATTAGTAAATAAAATTATATTACCCCTATTAACAGTCAGTGTACGCTTTATACCTTATATCTGAATCTGAAGCCTTCTGTCTCACTGCCAACTTCGTAATCTCTCCTTGAGACATGGTCTTATGAAGCTTTGCTTCTTCATCAACTGAGGAAAAACGCTGTGATGTCTGTAATAATTACATATGTAAAGACCTTAAAACCAAGTAATTATATCACAGCACTGTAATTAAAACTCAGGTTATAGAATTATTTGAGAATTACACCTATTAAAAACATTCAAAAATACATTCATATTACTCAGAGATGCATTAAAATAAAAAAACCTACTAAAAACTTCATTAACTTCATACAGTAATCTGAAGTAAAGGGAACTTGGGTCAATGAAAATACAAAACAGGAACTACCAGCTCATGTTTTCCAACAATTTAACAAAGAATATCAAGTAGGGTGAAAGAAAAAAAAGAACATCAAGTGGAAAAGTAAGAAAAAAATCAAAACCATCTAAAGACAGAGACAAAAGAGCCAGGACCTGATAAATCTAGAATACTAAGCATAGTTTTTCATACCTTCTTTTATTTGTCCCTAAAAAGATGATAATTATTTTTATGGCTAACTTGCTACTATAGATTCTTATATCCAGTTAAGGATTTAAAAAATCTAGAACACAGAAGATAAGAAAAACCAAAAGACCAAAGAATAAAATATCACTATACTCACTAATGGTCTAAATTATGAACAACTTATATAGCTATAAAAAGGACTTGAATTTCAATTGATAACTCTTGCTCCATTTGTTTACAATGTGCCCCTTTAAAGACAATACCATTTGGAGGACAGAATTTCTTGTTACCTATTCAAGTCATTTTTCTAATATTTCATTTTTATACAGTTATAATCTTTTCTTTAACCTTTTGGTCTGCATGACTATGGCCTTATCAACAGAAAGAGCAAATATCCTGAGCTGTTAAATTTAAAGAACAGACTTCTGCTTCTGGCCAAGATGGAGTAACAAGAACCTGTTCTATACTCTTGCCTGAAACAAACAGAAACAAAACTAAAATAAAACAAAAACTTAGACAAAATAATATGAAACAGGGACTTCACTGGTGGTGCAGTGGTTAAGAATCCACCTGCCGACAACCAGCTGTTGAGGGTCCTGTCTTCATCGGTGGGGTGACTCCAACAAAAGGCTAGAGGTGTGAACCTCAACACCAGCAGAAGTGGAAACCAGCCGTGTGACTGACAGGGTCTTCCTGCTCCGGCCGGGTGTCAGGCCTGTGCCTCTGAGGTGGGAAAGCCAAGTTCAGGACACTGATCGACCAGAGACCTCCCAGCTCCACGTAATATCAAATGGCGAAAGCTCTCCCAGAGACCTCCATCACAACGCTAAGACCCAGCTACACTCAACAACCAGCAAGCTACAGTGCTGGACACCCTATGACAAACAACGAGCAAGACAGGAACACAACTCCACCCATTAGCAGAGAGGCTGCCTAAAATCATACTAAGGTCGCAGACACCCCAGAACACCAGAAAGACAAGATCCAGCCTCATCCAGGAGAACACAGGCACCAATCCCCTCCACAAGGAAGCCTACACAACCCACTGAACCAACCTTAGCCACTGGGGGCAGACACCAAAAACAACAGGAACTACGAACCTGCAGCCAACGAAAACGAGGCCCCAAACACAGTAAGTTAAGCAAAATGAGAAGACAGAGAAACACACAGCAGATGAAGGAGCAAGGTAAAAACCCACAAGACCAAATAAATGAAGAGGAAATAGGCAGTCTACTTGAAAAAGAATTCAGAGTAACGATAGTAAAGATGATCCAAAATCTTGGAAATAGAATGGAAAAAATACAAGAAACATTTAACAACAACGTAAAAGGACTAAAGAGCAAACAAACAATGATGAACAACACAATAAATGAAATTAACAATTCTAGAGATGGAATCAATAGCAGAATAACTGAGGCAGAAGAATGGATAAGTGAACTGGAAGATAAAATAGTGGAAATCACTACTGCAGAGCAGAATAAAGAAAAAAGAATGAAAAGGATTAAGCACAGTCTTAGAGATCTCTGGGACAACATTAAATGCACCAACATTTGAATTATAGGGGTCCCAAAAGAAGAAGAGAAAAAGAAAGGGACTGAGAAAGTATGTGAAGACATTATCGTTGAAAACTTCCCTAATATGGGAAAGGAAATAGTCAGTCAAGTTCAGGAAGCACGGAGACTCCCATACAAGATAAATCCAAGGAGAAACATGCCAAGACACATATTAATAAAACTATCAAAAATTAAATACAAAGAAAAAATATTAAAAGCAGCAAGGGAAAAACAACAAATAACATACAAGGGAAACCCCATAAGGTTAACAGCTAATCTTTCAACAGAAACTCTGCAAGCCAGAAGGAAGCGAAAGGACATATTTAAAGTGAGGAAAGGGAAAAACCTACAACCAAGATTACTCTACCCAGCAAGGATCTCATTCAGATTCGACGGAGAAATTAAAACCTTTATAGACAAGCAAAAGTTAAGAGAATTCAGCACCACCAAACCAGCTTTACAACAAATGCTAAAGGACCTTCTAGGCAGGAAACAAAAGAGAAGGAACAGACCTACAATAACAAACCCAAAACAATTAAGAAAATGGTAATAGGAACATACATATCGATAATTACCTTAAATGTAAATGGGTTAAATGCTCCCACCAAAAGACACAGACTGGCTGAATGGATACAAAAACAAGACCCACATATATGCTGTCTACAAGAGACCCACTTCAGACCTAGGGACACATACAGACTGAAAGTGAAGGGATGGAAAAAGATATTCCATGCAAATGAAAATCAAAAGAACGCTGGAGTAGCAATACTCATATCAGAGAAAATGGACTTTAAAATAAAGACTATTATAAAAGACAAAGAAGGACACTACATAATGATCAAGGGATCAATCCAAGAAGAAGATATAATAATTGTAAATATTTTTGCACCCAACATAGCAGCACCTCAATATATAAGGCAAATGCTAACAGCCATAAAAGGGGAAATCAACAGTAACACAAACATAGTAGGGGACTTTAACACCCCACTTTCACCAAAGGACATATCATCCAAAATGAAAATAAGTAAGGAAACACAAAGTTTAAATGATACATTAAACAAGATGGACTTAATGGAATTTATAGGACATTGCATTCAAAACCAACAGAATACACTTGCTTCTCAAGTGCTCATGGAACATTCTCCAGAATAGATGATATCTTGGGTCATAAATCAAGCCGTGGTAAATTTGAGAAAATTGAAATCATATCAAGTACCTTTTGCAACCACAACGCTATGAGACGAGATATCAATTACAGGAAAAATATCTGTGAAAAATACAAACACATGGAGGCTAAACAATACACTACTAAATAACCAAGAGATCACTGAAGAAATCAAAGAGGAAATCAAAAAATACCTAGAAACAAATGACAATGAAAACACAACGACCCAAAACCTATGGGATGAGGAGAGGAACCAAGATGGCGGAGTAGAAGGACGTGCTCTCACTCCCTCTTGCGAGAACAACAGAATCACAACTAGCTGCTGGACAGTCACTAACAGGAAGACACTGGAACTCACCAAACAAGATACCCCACATCCAAAGACAAAAGAGAAGCCACAATGAGACGGTAGGAGGGGCGCAATCACACTAAAACTGGAGAACACTTATAACACAGAAGTCCACCCACTGGAGTGAAGGTTCTGAGCCCCACGTCAGGCTTCCCAACCTGGAGGTCCGGCAACAGGAGGAATTCCTAGAGAATCAGACTTTGAAGCCTAGTGAGAATTGACTACAGGACTTCGACAGGACTGGGGGAAACAGAGACTTCACTCATGGAGGGCACACACAAAGTAGTGTGTGCGTCAGGACCCAAGGGAAGGAGCAGTGACCCCAGGGTAGACTGAACCAGACCTACGTGCTACTGTTGGAGGGTCTCTTGCAGAGGAAGGGGTGGGGACAAGGACACTGACAGCAGAAGTTCTGGGAAGTACTCCTTGGCGTGAGCCCTCCCAGAGTCTGTCATTAGCCCCACCAAAGAGCCCAGGTAGGCTCCAGTGTTGGGTTGCCTCAGGCCAAACAATCAACAGGGAGAGAACCCAGACCCACCCATCAACAGTCAAGTGGATTAAAGTTTTACTGAGCTCTGCCCAACAGAGCAACAGTCAGCTCTACCCACCACCAGTCCCTCCCATCAAGCCTCTTAGATAGCCTCATCCACCAGAGGGGAGACAGCAGAAGCAAGAACTATAACCCTGCAGCCTGTGGGGAAAAAAACCACATTCACAGAAAGATAGACAAGATGAAAAGGCAGAAGGCTATGTACCAGAGGAAGGGACAAGATAAAACCCCAGAAAAACAACTAAATGAAGTGGAGATGGGCAACCTTCCAGAAGCGAATTCAGAATAATGATAGTGAAGATGATCCAGGACCTCGGAAAAATAATGGACGCAAATATCGAGAAGATGCAAGAAATGTTTAACAAAGATCTAGAAGAATTAAAGAACAAACAAACAGAGATGAACAATACAATAACCGAAATGAAAACTAAACTGGAAGGAATCAATAGCAGAATAACTGAGGCAGAAGAATGCATAAGTGACCTGGAAGACAGAATGGTGAAATGCACTGCTGTGGAACAGAATAAAGAAAAAAGAATGAAAAGAAATGAAGACAGCCTAAGAGACCTATGGGACAACATTAAACACAACAACATTCACATTATAGGGGTCCCAGAAGGAGAAGAGAGAGAGAAAGGACCAGAGAAAATATATGAAGAGCTTATAGTGGAAAACTTCCCTAACATGGGAAAGGAAATAGCCACCCAAGTCCAGTAAGCGCGAGTCCCATAACGGATAAACGTAAGGAGAAACACGCCAAGAAACATAGTAATCAAATTGGCAAAAATTAAAGACAAAGAAAAATTATTGAAAGCAGCAAGGGAAAAATGAAAAATAACTTACAAGGGAACTCCCATAAGGTTAACAGCTGATTTCTCAGCAGAAGCTCTACAAGCCAGAAGGGAGTGGCATGATATACTTAAAGTGATGTAAGGGAAGAACCAACAACCAAGATTACCTGGCAAGGATCTCATAGAGATTCGATGGAGA